TTAGAATCGCTGTGCAATCAAATGCTATGATGGCACGGATTATATTTTGCGTTATATTTATTTTGGCATGTTTGGAAATAATTTTGAGAGTAACATTTTTACGACACATGCGCACACCGACAGCCAAAAAGCGACATCAAGGTTCACGCTACATTATTTTTGACAATTACAATTGTATTTAATGTCTTTCACAAAAAAAGAGTGATCAAACGCAGGTGATAAAATTTTGTGATTTTTTCAGTTGTAACGCTTAAGAAAATAAATGAAAAATTTTGCACGTACGTAGGTACATAAGTACGATAGAGACGTAGAAGAAGATCCGTGATAGCTCGTTGTCCGGGCGCACGCCTTTAATTCAATTATACTTGAGCAACCTGAGTTCGATCCCCGGTGCCGGCATCAATGAAGTTTTTAACTTTAAGTGCTGTTTTATCACGTGCTCCGCGGTGAAGAAAAACATCGTGAGGAAACCTGCAAATTTTCGAAATAATATTAAAAAAATATATTTCGAAGATTTGTAAGACGGGGCTCGTGGTGGACTATGCCCTGCCCAGCAGTGGGACATGTATAGGCTGATATTTTCTTTTTTTTACATAAGTACACACGTACTTGTTTTTTTCTTCAGAGAAGGCGGCAAACGTCCGTACCGTTCGGCTGATATCCATTGTTCATGGACATTTGCATGGGGTGACTTGCCCCTCCAGTGCAGTTAGTGTCTCCACATAATACCTCTGCTTAACAACGACATTTATTTATCGTGTCGTTAAATAAAAATTAAATAACAATCACCAGATCAATTAATACTTTATTGTTGATAGAATCGACAACGTTAATCGTTACTTTATGGCGAGTGCAATCAGTCTTTTATATATATTTGCAGTGCACAACTAAATTTATTCAGAACTCAACTCTGATTACAGACCAGAAAACACATCCACTTCAAGGTAAGCAATGAAGAGTCTTTTTAAAACTATTTTATTTACCTTTTAGAGGAGTGTGAATTTGCTTATAGGGTATCTTTTATAACCTATAACCTACCTTGTAGCTAAATCAATTATGTCCCTAACAACTCCTTATACAAATTGACAAAACGAAATTTTCGCACCAATTCATCTGATAGGGTATGGCCGTTTTTCGTAAAAACATTTGCCCCGACATCATAAATAAGAATATCCTTCCTGTTTCCTATCATTATCATAAATAGCATTCATACTATACGTGAGGCTTCATTCCTTCTTATTTAACATTGGGTTTAGTATTATCTTAAGTTTGGTTTTAATATTCTTCTCTCATACGTCTTAGGTATTTTATCACTATCAAATTTATATTTTTAGATACGTAAATAACAGTTTACATAATCTGACTAATTCCAGATGAAGAAGTTTCTGATTTTCCTGGCGCTCATGGTGGCCGTGTGCTACGCCGCCCCAACCGAGCCGGAGGCCGAGGCCGATGCGCCTCTCGTAGAAGACGCGGACGCGATTCCGGAGCCAATGCAGGGCCCCTTGGCCGATTTATGCAAATATCCACTGACGTTAGTCCCCTACTTGAAGGACAATTTGAATAATCCCGTAGTGGAAGCAATCATTAAAATGTTGTGTCCGTTCTGATTATAATTCATTTGTTGCATCATTCTCGCCAATGTAATTGGTCCCACAAATGATTTCAAATAAACGCTATCAAATTTGTACATTTAAATTTTTAAGATTGTTTTATGGCTGTTTTAAACATATTAGTTTGCCAGAAAATAAAAAATTAAGTTTTCCCTGAGACATTATTAACTATTTAGTTACCAACGGTTAAACTCACGTTCAACCGGTGGCGGTGTAGGTAGTACCCACGATCCATTCGCTATTACGAAGGACCTCCGATAATTTCAACTATTTCATTATTTGGCAGTAAGTAGTCTAATACGGTCATCGTTTAATTAATATAGTGTTTTGGGAATTTAAACGATACGTTTCGCCTTTAAAAAGATAGGACGGATCTATGGCACAGAAGGTCGCCCCTTTTTTTAAAGAGCCTCAGTCATTAAACTAACCATCGTTTAGGTTTAAGATTCTAGAATCTGACGCGAATTCTTATATCCAAGATAACTGACAACTGGGGCTTGTCTTATATTTAACCTCATCACTGTGAGTAAGGCAAGCTGTCAGTCTTCGAATATTAGTGGTCATTTAAATTGAATTCCGCGTGATAGAATGAGACTTTCTTTTCATGCTCTGCCCCACTTCTAATTTATTTAACAACATTTCATGCGGATGTTACAAAGCTAATAAATAACACTTAAATAAACGCTCCAGTTTCTAACACTACTACGTGGACAATGATCAGCAATTTTTAGCAATTGGCCAATTCTTTGATTTTAAAATTCCAGGGTCATCGAAAAAATTCGGCGGCTCAAATGAATCCTAGAGATCGGATCTAAAATTATTTCAATTGGTCACAATATGGTCACAATTGGTCAATTAATTTTGATCATAGGTCAATGTTATAATAAAAAAATCTAAGTTACCTGTTTCTGATAAGCACCTCAAAATTATTGCAATATCAATGATCTGAGGAAGTTACCAAAGACACAGAATTGGTAAGAAGCTTGCAAAAATTGTTCAATAGTATAGAAATAATCACAAGGAAGCACAGAGTTTCGGTTTCTACAGCGGTGAAAATCTTTTCGTACTTTTTTCTGCAAATTTTAATAATCAAAACAAGTTTAAATTTTCAAGGACGTTCATATCGTCATAGCACTTCAATTAGATTTGCGGAACTACTTTCAAAGACAATTAGCGTTCTTGCAACAACTATGCAAACGGTTAGAGTATTTAGGCTAATAGTAATATTTTTTTTAAGTATTGGCAAACTCTAACTCTTTCAGAAAATCTTAACGTCAATATGCTGGTGAACAGACATAAATTAAACACTAGAAATAAGGACAAACTTACTGCGTCATTGTTTCGCCTACAAAAAGTAAATAGGTCGTTCATGGGGCAAGGTGTGCGCATGAATAATAAAATCCCATAGTCGAAAGTAAAATATGCCGCTTGAACACGTAAAACCTTAAACGTAAAATCAAAAGTCAACTTATGGTTAAAGCATATTACACCATTACGGAAAATCTCGACGATGCCAACGTGTGGAGTTCATATCGGTATGTTATAAGTATGGCAACTGTTGAGTTTCTTGGCGGTCTCTTCTCAATAGAAACTGCTTTCCGAACCGGTGGTGCTTTACGAACCTATGTGTATATTTTATGTAAAATTTGACGAGTCATAAGAACGCGCAAGCGTCTATTTGAATAAAGATATTTGATTTGATTTTACCCGCAACGGAACTCGCGAACGAAAAAGATTTCGGCTGCGTTCCCGGACAGTGATACAACCACTAGTGCTGCTTTTCGTTATAATAGTCGTTAATATTCAAGTACAGCAATAGTAGTTAAAATTTTAGAATAAAGGTAAAAATGTTAGAACTCTTATATATTGTATAAAAACTCACTCCGATTATTCCCATAATATTGATATTTCAATTTCTGTATGTGGCTTATGCCTACCATTCAGTTATGTTACAAGCTTGAAATGATAAATTGTGACTGATCACAGTAATGTACAACAATTTCGCACGAGTCAACCAGTTTTAGTTGTTTCTAGAAATAATACAATTAAAATTGAAGTTTAGTGAAGCTGAGCAGAGCCCGCAAAGTCAACGCCTTATATTTTGTAAGATTGCTTTTCTCATGCTTTTCAAATGCCATTGCACACGCCTCATGAGTTTTAAATTTCAACATTATGAATAGATAATCTAATTTTCGTTTTCCTAATGTGTTGCAAATCAATTTTAAGGATTTTCATCCAGTGTGCATCCTTAACAGCATACAACAACACCTTTCAAAGAACATTCAACAATGGATGTTGCCAAGCGTTGCTAAAAATGGTATAGAGAGAACATTGATGTCAATAGATTTGGTAAAGCCTCTCGGCGCAAAACCAGAAGACATAGACAAATTCTGCAGAGCTGAAAATGTTTGTCGTGAAATCTAAAAACGTTTATCAGTATCATCTACAAAAATTTCATCAGTATTTAAAATTTCATCAAATTATTTCAGTCCTAGTAACGCTAGGATAATTCAAATATCGGTTGTTTGTTTTCTTGTTATTTCACAAATATTACACAGTTACAGACTTCGTTGTTGCATGAATGGGCAAGTCCACGCGGGTAAGCACCACGATCTCACAAAAGATCGGCGTGAAGTGGAAGTATTATCGTATATGATTCATAGAGATCACTTAGGCAAGTCTTATGTTTCATAACATGGGACGAATATTACTGGAATATCTAGTAATATTTCATATTGAACCCTTGCCTTGCTCGTAGTGACTGGTTTATTTTGGAGACAAGCCCGAGTTGGAAATGATTTGTCTCGACTCAAAGAAAAGACTACGTTTGAAACGATTTAATGGCGGAAACTCTTAAAACGAGCACAGAACCTTCTTTAAGGGTTTTATCCATAATGTAGAGGTTGTGTAAAGTTTGGTAAATAAATACCTAATCATAGTTTGTTTTCTCAATTCATTGAAGGATCGAGCGAAATATATGCAATCTCCTTTCAAATTCTTACCAAGTAAAAATTGATGGAAATATACCAAAGTAGCATGTAATACTTTCGCGTTTCGTCTGGTGAGTGAGGTAGCCGGAGCCCAATTTTCAAAAGGTTGTCAACGCATCTGTAATCCTCGTGTGTAGCAGATGTCCATGAGTGGCGGTATGCACTTACCGTCAGGTGAACCCTCTGCTCGTTTGGCAATTTTTCACATAAAAACAAATACGAATTTAATAAAATGTTTACACCGTCTTGCGTCATATCAAATACATTGACGAGAATAGGATAAAGAATAAAAACACATTACTTCCGGGATATTGTTTCAAATGAATAGCTTTCCGATTTTATTGGATTTGATAGTTTCAATGAACAGATTGGGACAGAGATGATTGAATTATAATCAGAAAGGACACCGATGTCTCAAGTAGCGTATGAATAGAGGATTCCGCAAATAGATTCTCATACGGGGGTCGAGCGAGAGTCGGGAGAGGCAGCGGTTGTAGAAGGGGTCATGCATCTTGTCCAGGGGCACGTCGCCGTCTTCTGGCAGGGCGTCGCCCTCCGCTTCGGACGAGGCCGCGTAGCACACGACCACTATGAGCGCCAGGAAAATCAGGATCTTCTTCATCTGCAATTCATTTCATACATTTTTCATTTCTTTTCAATCGACATTTAGTTTATTGTTTATAGAACATATTGTTAATTTTTATTAGTAGGCCCTACACTAGATGAATCATAAAAAAATATATTTCCTAGCAGTTCAGAAAAAAATTTAATAAAAGCAGTAATCGGATTTGTAGTTTAAAAATAATAAATAAGAGACGTAAACCAAACGAAGGACTTTGATTTTATTATTCATTGGGTTAATGGGGGAAATACTCGTATTCTTACAAAAAACACGGAATGCAATAATGGGCATTTATTCCATATATTTTGTAGCAAGTAAATACTGTGCAAGTATGTACTAATTAGTAGACTTTAAACCTAAATCAATAATCTTAATAAAAGTTAAAGTTCTTAAGTAACAGTAAAAAATCTTTTTTACTCTTTACTTACCTTAAAGTGTATGTCTTCTCTTGTCTGAAGATCACTCGGCTCTGAATATATTTACTTGTGCACTGCTAAGAAAAACTCAAAAATCAGTGGGACTGATTACTTTGACTATAAAGTGACGAATAGGCTTATAGATTTTATCATTAACAATGTGTTAATTGATTAGTTGATTGTTATTTAATAGGTTTCGAATGGTATGATAAATAAATTCCATCGTCATGCAAGAGTTTTAAGGTAGAAAAATTAATCCCTATTGCATGAGACATCGTAATGAACTATATGATGTTGCGTATCGTTCACAATCAAGAGATATTACGCTTTTTTGACTTACACTGATTTAATTTGAGCCTCCGGTTACGTTAAAAATAGCCAACAGCTATTAAATTAGTCATTTGTTTTACATATTCAAAGATTTGTATATTAAATTACAAATAGACATTGAATCAGAAATTTTGTCATGAATTATTTTTAATGTGAGAAAATGGCAAATGAGCCGACGGTTTACGTGATGTTAAGTGATAACCGCCACCCATGGACATTTGCATTACCCATAGGGTTGCAGATGCGTTGCCACCTTTAAATCCAGTGGGGTCCCGGCTACCTCACACGCCAGACTAAACGCGAAAGTTTAATGCTTCCGCTTCACGCCGGTCTCCTGTGAGGCCGTGATACTTCCCAGGAAAGGCCTGCCCATTCGTGCAACAGTTGAAGCTACTGCGGGGCTCTACCACGCTGCACTTGCGTTACGTTTTAGACTATTATAATAAACGCCTTTCTTTACGCGTTTGCAATAATAGTGCATATACTAGCCACGAGAACAAAAAAAATCATTAATCATACTTTAGATAGCATAATCTTAATAGTGAAAAGAAAAAAAGCAAGTTTATCTACGAAAAGAACAGATGTTTTGCATTCACCAGCATTTTTTGAAATAACACTAAGGCACCTTTAGAAAAGGTATGTACATTCGCCCATATTAATACTCACCTATAGGTATGTGAGATTTAGGCAAATAGTACATATTCAAAGAGGTTAGTTATAATTGATAAGTTCATTAATATAACACATCAGATGCTATTTGTGGTTTTGCTGTCGTGACAATTTGTGGTTATCACGATATCAATTATATCAATTACAGAGGAATGGAAAATTATATGATCTATACATTGAATACAATATAATAATAAAAAATGGCAAAAATTGGAACTTGAGGATGCTAAGAATAAAATTTAAGTAAGACATATAAAGGTTTACATCTGAAGGATTTTTAGTTCTGTACTCAAGATTAAATATGTTTCTTTTATTTTATTTTAGAAGGTGGCAAGCAAGCTGGCCGTGAACCTGACGTTAAGTGCTCACCGCCGCCGGCTGACATTTGAAACACCCGTTGCAGACGCGTTGCCACCTTGTATTATACATTGGTTCTACGCCTACCTCACTCACCGGACGAAACGCAGAAGTATCACACTTCCACTTGACGCCGGTCTTCGTGAGGTCGTGGTACTTACCGACGGACGGACCTGCCCATTGTCAACCTTAATAACAATATACTTTATTGTACATCAAAAAATTCAAATAAAAACGTACAAAAAACAAAATGTTTATTATTATTCTTAAATGGTTGCCACCAAGTGACTCTGGAGCAGATACTTTTTTGTACATGATTTAAAGGCAACATAGGTTTTGAAACCAAACCCTGGTTGTAAATTGAATATGTGTTCACACCATGAAGTTATGTTCATAGAAAACACAAACTGAGGTAACTAAAATATAAAATTAAAAACATAACTTACCTATGAAAAAGTTCCAAAATCTAATATATAAAATTCTCGTATCACGTTGTTTGTAATTGAAATCGGTAAATGTAAATAACTTTAACTCCGGCGTAATTCAAATCAAATAAATTTTAAACGATAGAGAAAAATCACTTATGAATTTATCAACAAGCAGAATTCGGCGGTCGCTTCTAGTTTTCGAAAAAATAAATAATGAAATAGTGTGATTTTTACTATAGAAATCCGCCATTTTTTTGTTTTCAATATGTCATTTCAGCTCGTATTTCTTGGTGGTCATAAAAAAAACCTAACATCGAAGGTTAAGAACCTTCTAACCTAATCTATCCGAGTCGGATTCGCTCTGTGTCGGTTCTGTGATTCATTAAATTAATAAAATCGGAATATCGATACGTGTATGATATCGCCCGCTTCCTATATTTATCATGTTGGCAGAACTGTGTATTGAGTTTTTGAAGTCAAACAAATAAAATGGTGGATTTCTTAGTACAAAAAACAAGTTTTAAATATTTTTTTTTTCTCGAAAACTATAAGTGACCGCCGAATTCTGCTTGTTGATTAATTCATTAGAGATTTATCTCTATCGTTTAAAATTTATTTGATTTGAATTACGCCGGAGTTAAAGTTATTTACCTTTACCTTGAACTCCTCCGAAACGGCTCGACCGATTTTCGTGAAATTTTGTGTGCATATCGGTCAGGGTGGAGAATCGGACAACATCTATTTTTCATCCCCTAAATGTTAAGGGTGGTCCACCCTAAACATTTTTGACTACTCTACAAATAATTTATATGGCAAAACAACGTTTGCCGGGACAGCAAGTATAATATAAAAATACATTTGTAACATCCGAAACATGATAATGTCACTATGTTTTCATAAAACTAGAAAAATAAAGCAAGTAACAATTGCAATACGGCAAAATAAACTCTGCCGCTATAAAAATAAACCAAAAGTAGCACTATGGAAAAAAATTGTTAATGAAAACATCTAAATAACAAATGAAACTTTAGTACAAACAATGTATGCCCTAAAAACGCTGCGCTGAAAACGTTTACAAAAGACTATTCTTTAAAATAAACACAATACGTTGGAAGTATAATAAAACATGGACCAGGGTAAAAAGAAATAAATAAAAACCAAAAGAACGCTTTTCAAAACTTTGTTAGAATTATATAGGTTTTAATTAAAAGTAATGTATTGTTATGGATTCCTTATGCACATTTGTTAACAAAGAAATATATTATTACATTAAAAAATCGTAAATACTCAAAAAAATGTTTTACTTATTCCATAATAATTTTCCTTAATCTCTTACAATGCCGTTCTCACTAATGAAGTGATTAAATGTGTAGACGTATCACCTCATCTAAAAGGGCATTTACCATAGATCAAGATCGCTGTTGCTGTGAGGTCTCATCACGTAAGTATTGATTCATTTGTTTCGCTGATATAATAAAACAGTGAATGAAGACGAAATAGCAGAAATACGAAAATCCATTCGGTATTTTCATTTGCCATTCACGCCGTTGTTAACGTCCCGTCTTTTTACGCTCAAACTGGCATTTCATCTATTTTATTGGTATTTTTTAAGCGACTCCAAAAAAGGTACTTTTCTGTATTTTTTTATGTCTTCCGAATTGCGTTTAACCGATTTTAAAAGTTGTTTGTGTATTGCGTTCGATTTATTTTATTTGTGATCTCACACAAATTTTATGTGTCTAAATCTAAATCTAAATTAAGAAAATCTCCAAAAACAAATTGAAATTTTATATTTAATTTTGTTATTTGTTTTGCTTTTTGTTGATAAAAATGTACATTCTTGTTCTCATGCGAATGGACACTTTACAGGGGAGAAAAATTGTAGTTGGGATGCCACCGCGTATATATAAAATGTTAGACGTGTCTATATTACGCAGTGTCATAAGACGGACTGAACATATCTCATCTCATCTCATCGGTGCCGTGGTCATAGTCTGGAAGTACCAAGGTTTAGACTAGTTAAAACCAGAAAGGTGTTTCTTGCTAGCTGGTTTTTTTACTTAATTATAAAATAAAATAGGCATAATGACATTCACAAACATCTACGAGTTAAACAAACTTGTAATTTTATAAATCCAATTCAATGTATGTCTAAGAATACATTGAGTGCAATGATGTGTGGAAATGATCTGCTCTGTAGTTCTTTGACGGACAACAAAATCTTTAAAAACCACGACCAGCGCCTATTGCCAACTATTAAGCTTTGAATAAAGAAATTTTGACTTTGACTGAACGAGAATTCTAGAGACAGGAATGCAATTTATTCACGTTATTATCGTTGCGCGGGAACGAAGCAAATTTCCATTTGCCCTTTTTTATGTGAGCGGATGAAATTGAATAGTCAAATGGCACTGCTGGAACAGTTTATCACGTTCCAGACAATTTTAAAGTATTTTTAAATGCCTACAGTAAATTTTTCCTCTAATACTATTTACGTATATATCTAATCAATGTCATCATCATCATCATCATCATCATCAGCCGCAAGACGTCCACTGTTGAACATAGGCCTCGCCCTTAGAACGCCACAACGAACGACACTTTGCCATTTGCATCCACCTAGAGGGAGGCCTTCCAACGCTACGTGTTCCGGTTCGTGGTCGCCACTCGAGAACCTTTACTCCCCATCGGCCATCAGTTCAATCAATGTAATTAGGCATATTTTCAAATTTAAGTAAATCGGGAATGAAAAAGTTTTTAGATTATTTAACGATTATGTTTCTCAACAAAGTGTAGACCA